AGCAGGCCGCAGGGTCCACAGCAGACAGCAGCTCCTGGGGGTCTGGTGTGCTGCCTCCCCACTGTCCCGCCAACAGGAAGCTCCACACAAACTCTGCCCTGGTGCCTTGGGTCCTGGCTCCGCTGGGCGGGGAGGGTAGGCCGCAGTTCTAGCCACAGCTGCAGAAGGGGACAGGCAAGGGGCTAGTGAGCGGGGGTCCCCACAGGGTTAGGCCCAGGCTCGGGGAGCGCCACAGTGGAGCTGGGCGTGTGCCCTCTTCACAGCGTGCCTTTCACAAGGGGCACGCATGGCTGCCTATGTAAGCTGTGCAGGGGAGGGTGGCGCTGGCCACCACCGCATCTAGGACTGGATGCAGTGGCCGCTACAGGCCAGGGGGTTGGGGGGTGAGGGCTCACCCCTGCAGGTCCTGCAGTTCAGGCGGCAGGTCACACCCCGTGTACACGCCATTTGTGACGCTGTGCTCCAGCAAGGCGCCGAAGCAGGGGTCCTGTGGAAACACAAGGAGCCTTACAGCCACTGGCAGGTGACCCTGTGCCCCAGGCCCCACCCTCCTCAGTGGGCAGCTCACTTTGACTAGAACGTGAGGGTTCCCCACCACTATCAGCAGGGCTTTGGGTCTGGTGATGGCCACGTTAAATCTTTTCGAGTTGGACAAGAAACCCAAAAAGTATCTGTCGTCTTCAAATCTATTTTCATTTGACCGCACCTAAAAACCACAAAAACAAATAAATGTGGGATTTCAAACTCTTTTCCAGCATGGAAAGAAACTCTCTATATAAAAGCATATTAAGCATCAGCAGGACCCCACTGTCGGTTAAAAACCGAAACTGCACGGGGTGGGGGTGGGGCCCTCCGGGGTGGGGCCCTCCCTGCTCTGCACACGGATGGTGAACACCCACCCGGCCATCTCTGGGCACAGGGTTTGAGGTGATTCTCATTTTCTTTTTCCTGTCTGAATTTTTAAAATTTATCTGCAATCAACATTATGTTCCCTAAAGATAATTTAAAGATGAAAACTGGGTTTGAGGTGGCACCTTCGGACCCCGCCCCCCGCTTCTCTGCTCCCCGCCTCCTCTCTCTCCACGTCAGGTCCGTCCTTCTCCATCGCACTGACCAGTCCTCCTGGCCCTTTGCTTTACTTTGTGTCTGCCGGCCTGTGTGGTATTTTGAAAAGAGCTCCCTAGTTACTGCTTGAGGTGAGTCTGGGGTGCAGGCCGGTCCCCACCCTGCGTCTGCTTTCTGTCACTGTCAGCCTTCCACCTTCTACCCGAGTGTGCCAAGGACCCACTAAAGCTCAGGTGGCCCCACTGGAAACACCCACGGTGGAGATGACGATGACCAAGTACTCCTGTCCTTGGAACTCCTCCACCGACCCGACCTTTATGTCCATCAGGTCCACATTCCTCAGAAGAATTTTGATTTTCTCCACCTTGAAGCAGATAAAAAGAAAGATGAAAGGTAGCTTTACAAATCTGACCGTTCCTTTCATATTACAGTGAAAGTGAATACCGACCAATGTGCGATATCGCTTTTCAATTCCAAATCCCACTTCACCAAACTTGGCTGATCAGAACCCTAATTCTGATTTCAGGGCGATTAGCTGGGGGAGGGGCCCGAGCTTGTCAGGACCGGGGAAGACGAGGACCGGGTCACACACGGTGTGAAGAAGTGAGACAACAGTGGCTGCTGGGCAGGCTCCAGCGCGCCTTCCTCGTTGGGGGTCAGAGGCCCTCCAGAGGACCCCACTCCCCAGGAGCCTGAGACTTCACTCAAAAGTGGCCTGGAGATGACCGAGTGCCCCATGTGGCGGCCACAGCAGGCAGCCAGGAGGAGCGTGGACTTTGTGAAAAGCGGCCATGGAGCCAGGAGGGGGAACAGGGCAACCGAGTCACGGGAAGGACTCGCGATGACGTGTGTCCCAGCTATCTGCAGACAAAGGTCTCCAGGGGGCGCTGGTAGAAAAGAACCAATTTGAAGTCTGGGCGAAAGCACACGGTATTTGAGGGGACATGCTGCAGTGGAGCCATGCTGACTCAGCAGAAGGTGTGGGGGGGCAACGCTGGCAGAGCTGCCCAGACTCTGCCACACACGAGGTCCAGCGACGACGGGGACACATGTCCACCAGTTCCGGGCGGGCAGGATGGAGGGCATCCATGCAGACCCATCAGGAGGTCCCACAGGGGACAGAAGTCACAGCCACGCTTTGCAGTGGACAACAGGACATGGCGAGTAAAGGGGAGACATTATGAGAGGACGTTACTTACAAACCAGGCGGTGTCAGGCAGGGAGGTGTTTCTCAGCACAGGGTGGGGATGGGGGGCAAATGGAATTCAAACGCAAATTCAAGATCCAGGTGCTTAAATGAGTGTATCTGACCTGCCACTCACAGGCCTCTGCTGAAGTAAGGACTAAGGGACGAATCTCAGGAGAAACAAGCCCAGAAGCTCAGGAAGCAGAAGAAAGCCAAAACCACAGTTAGGACACACTGAAAAACTGTTGCCAAGGAGAAAAACACGCTTTTTGGGTAAAAGGTGGAATTCCTAACATTCACAAGAGTGAGCACAAAGTCAAAATCAGGAGGTGTATCTGACGACTCCGTCCCTGGTGTCACCTCAGCCCTGAGCATCACTCCCACACCTGTGTCCTGCAGGAGGAGCAGCAGAGCAGAGCCCAGCACCGCCCGTGTGTGTGGAGTGTGTGCGTGTGGAGCCCGTGTGTGTGGAGTGTGCATGTGGAGTGTGTGCATGTGGAGCTTGTTGTGTGTGGAGAGTGTGCACGTGGAGTGTGTGTGTGTGGAGCCCGTGTATGTGGAGTGTGTGCGTGTGGAGCTTGTGTATGTGGAGAGTGTGTACGTGGAGTGTGTGCGTGTGGAGCTCATGTGTGTGGAGTGTGCACGTGGAGTGTGTGCGTGTGGAGCTTGTGTGTGTGGAGAGTGTGCACATGGAGTGTGCGCGTGTGGAGTCTGTGTGCACGTGGAGTGTGCGCGTGTGGAGCTTGTGTGTGTGGAGAGTGTGCACGTGGAGTGTGCGCATGTAGAGCTCGTGTGTGTGGAGTGTGTGCATGTGGAGAGTGCACGTAGAGTGTGCACGTGGATTGTATGCGTGTGGAGCTTGTGTGTGTAGAGTGTGTGTGTGGAGCTCGTGTGTGTGGAGTGTGCAGTGGAGTGTGCACGTGGAGTGTACACGTGTGGAGCTCGTATGCACGGAGAGTGTGCGTGTAGAGCACTTGCCTGTGGAGTGTGTGTGGCGGGCAGAGAAGTGCAGACAAGACAGTAACAGCTGGTTACACACACAGAGCTCCACCCACTGAGAGCAAACCCAGGTGGGTCCACATCTAATCGTCAGATGTGGATGCTCGAAGCTCCGGAAAAAGCGGGGAAACAGTTCATGACATCAAGATGGGATGAATTCCTTAAATAAGAAGAAAAGCACAAACTGCACAGGAAACGATGTGTGTCACATCTGCATCTGGCTACACCGAGGTGAGACACACACACACCAAGGAAATCAGACGGGTCGCCCGGGTGACAGCATGTCCAAAACACACTAAGCCACCAAGGTCCTGGGATGCAGACAGTAAACTGAAATGGCTCCAACTGCTGAGAGAAAACACACTTGAGATCAATTTAAGGTGGGCACTAGATCTGAACAGGAATTGTAAGAAAAACACAAAGAAATGGCTGGTAAACATATGAAAACTCTGCAGTCCCCGACAACTGTGGGGACTCCCTCAGGCCCTCCATGTCACAGGACGCTGCCGGCTGTGGGCACGAGCAGGTGTCTGCAGACACGGGGGATGGATGGCCCCGGCAAGCCCGCCGCGGGGAGATGGATAAGGTACAGAGAGCACACGGGCACACCCAGGGGAAGTGACAGCTCATGCCAAAGACAGGACCCACGAGCAGACGGAGCCGGAGTGCCCAGCGCAGGGCCTGGGCGTGAGGGCTGCGGTGCAGGAGCAGTGGCTGCAGAGGGGGGAGCGACCGAGGGACTTCGTGTCCACCTCCCTCCTGGGGCCCCATGAACTGGGAGCACAGGGAGCTCGCTGGGGCAGGGCACACCTGCTTCCGGTAGGGCGTGATCACGCCGATGTCGCAGGCAGACACCTGGCTGGAGGCGCTCCTGACCAGGAGGCAGCAGTAACGCATGACCTGCACGGCTTCAGCCGGGTTGAACCACGACGGGCTTCTCCCCTCACGAGCTTCGCTGCCCTGAGTTAGTTGGGAGACAAGAGAACGGCACGTCCGTCACAAACCTGCATCTTACTCAGCGCCCGCTGGTCCAGGGCCGATGCACAAGCAGAAGTACGTGCTGGGGACGTGGCCGAGTGGGGGGAAGTGGTGCAGGCAGCCCACAAGGCAGCAGGGCAGGCCGCACTCGTGGTGACTACAAAACCTGTCACCACAGCTGTGGGCGCTGAGGACCCAAGGACGGGCCAGGAGTGTGAGGTCAGGGCGCGTGCCCACTGACACACGGGCAGGACTCGAAGCGGAGCTTCGGCACATGCTGGGAAGAGGAGAAGGCTGAGCCCGGGGGCTCGCCAGAGCAGATCGCACGGCCAGGGGAGGCGGGCGGCCAGCTGCAGTCAGTCCGCCATAGGCATGGCGGTCCGGCCACTCGCTCAGGCTCCCACTTCCCCAGCGTGCCAGCGTGGGCCCCCGTCTCCCATCAGCAGAGAAGACCTGCAGACGGCCGGTGAGCACATGCAAAGGGCTCAGCATCACGGGCTGTCAGGTCTGCCAGTCAAGACCATCCTGAGATCCCGCCTCACGCCCTCAGGAGGACACGACCAGCAAACCCCAGGAAATGACAAGTGTCGCCAGGACGTGGAGGTGCTGTCGGCATGGTCCCTGCACAACAGCGTGTGGGTCTTCCGATAACTAAAGACAGAATCACCATGTTACCCAGCAGCTGGCTTCTAAGTATAGACCCAAAGGACTAAGTGCAGGGACGCAGACAAATATGTGCACCTCAGGTTCAGAGCAGCATTATCTGCAATAACTAAAAGGTGGGAGCACCCCAAGTGTCCAGGGGTGGATGACAGATGAGGAAACATGGTCCACCCACGCACAGACTGCCATTCAGCCTTAAAAGGAAGGGAATTCTGACACGCGCTGGAACACGGGTGAACCTGGAGGGCGTCCTGCTCAGGGAGGGAGGCTGGTCACAGAAGGACTAACACTGTGCAAGTCCCCTTAGTGAGGTCCCCAGGGGTGTCAGATTCACAGACAGAGAGTAGGCGGTGGTGCTGGGGGAGGGGAGTTAGCACTGAATGGAGACAAGAGTCTCAGTTTGGGAAGATGGAAAGTTCTAAAGATTCGTTGAAAAACAATGTGAATATATTCAACACCAGTGAACTCTATCCCTAGAATAGCTAATATAGTACATTTTTTATGTATATTTTACTATAATTTAAAAAGTGCGTACTAGATAAAACAATAAGAATGCATTAATTTTAAGGTCATGTTTTTGCTGTTAAGCCACATACATGTAACTCAGCCTTCACAATAGAAGGCTGAGCTAACTAACAAGATTAGCACAACAGGCGCTCATAGCAGAACGTCCACACTGAAGATTATCAACCGAACCACCACAAAAATAAGGGAGAGGAAACAAGTAACAGAGGAAAAGAAGGTGTGAAGGTGGGGGGGTGGCTGCGGGTTTGACTAATTCATCTCATTAAAAGCAGAGACTCTTAAATTGGATTAAATATAAAAACTAGCTGCTTCTAAGAAATACACCTAAAGTAAAGTGATAAAGAATAAAAACAGAGGGCAAAGAGAAGATAGTAAGAAAAATGGGGTGCCAGCACTAGTGCTATTACAAGGTGGAATTTAAAGCAAAAAACACGAACCAGTGGACAGGACATCATGTAACGAGGAGGATGAAACAGCAGTAAATCTGTGTGCACAAAACAGCACCGCAGCTGAATACATCAGCTAAGAACTGCTAGAAAGTCAAAGAGAATTTGATAAAAAAGCAATTACAATCAATTCACCACTCTTCTCCCATTTGTGGGGGTATTTAATAGACAAAATCCGGGTCAGAACACAGAAGAACTAAATGAGACTCTGTAAATTAAAAAAAAACAAAACGTATATACAACTTACATGCCCCAAATAGAGAACATAAATTTTTTTTTGGTATATCCTTAGGACATTTACCAAAACTGATAACTGATACTTATGTGGCCACACATTTTTTTTTTTAATTTTTTTTTTTTAAGATTTTTATTGGGGAATTGGGGGGATGGGAACAGTGCTGGGGAATTGGGGAAAGGAGGACAGACAAGTTGCTGTCTTTTTGTTCTTCAGTCTAGTTGTGGAGGACATTGCTTCACTGGCCCAAGTTGGCACCATCATTGCGCTCTTCCCGGGCGAGGCAGATCAGTCGCCGGCTTCTGGACGGCCGCTCACTGCGGCTGCTGGCCGCTCACGCTGGCTGCTGGCTACACACGGTAGCCCATGGCAACCCACCGCCACAGGGGCTGCAGCCTACGCCGTCGCCAGCGACTCATGGCAACCCAGCTCCAGGTTGAGCTGTTGTTCAGCATCTTAGCTGTAGAGGGCAGTGTCACTGGCCCTCATATGTGGGATCCGAACCGGGGCCCTCTGGTGTCCCAAGCCAGTTCTTAACCATCGCGCCACTCGGCCAGCCCGGCCACACATTTTTAAAAGCTGTGAATTTATAGGCCATAGTTCTTGATCAGAACATAAAAAATAGAAATAAAAAAGAGGTGACCAAAACATTCTTAGCCACTTGGAAATTAAGGAAGATGCATCGCTAGACTCACTGGATCAAAAAAGAAAATAAAAGTCACCAAGTGTCTAGCAAGCCATGAAGGGAGGGCCCCTCAGAAGACACGTGGAAAAGCCAAGTGACCCCTGAGGGAAGCTGCTGTCACCAGTGCTTCCCTGTGACGAGAGCGAGGAAGACAGGAAGTAAGAGGGGAACAGGAAGCAAGAGACCATCTTCCCGGAATGAAAATCAACAAGTTGGGACAGGGAAATGACTGATGATAAAGCTAGAATTAATGACGCAGAAAGCTAACAGTAAAAAACATGAACGAGTCCAAAGCCGGTTTTCCAGGGAGCCCGGAGGCCGGCACATCTGCCTGTAAAGGGCCAGACAGCGCCCTCCCGCTGTGACAGGGCCACGCAGCCACCAGACCAGCACGCAGGGCCTACCCGGCCAGGCTGCTGCCTCTGCTTCCTCGGGAGGACGGGCTGCAGCCGCCTCGGGCCGGGCCTGCCCCGCAGTGACCCGCAGCACCTTCTCTGTGCCCTCTCCGCTCCAGCGCAGGGCACGGGGCAGAGCCATGAGTCAGACAGAGATCCCTTGGAAGTTTCCAGGCAAGGGCTGCTGGCGAGGGGACAGGGCACACGCCTTGGTATACTGGGGACTGGAGTGGCCCCCAGGAGCTGAGGACGGGCGTGCAGGGACAGCAAGGGCCGGGCCAGGCCCACAATGCCGTGGGCAGTTAACCGTGGTAAAACCCTTTCTGCTGCAACAGCAGGAGTGGCCATGGGCTCTGGTCCCAGCGTGGAGGCCCCCCCCCCGGTTTACCCCAGGACCCAGAGTAGAGCCTGGTGTGGCCTAGAGGCTGGACGGGGCTCCTGGGTCCCGCAGCACGCTGCCTGGGGGCCGTCTCCTCTTCCTCCCACAGAACCTCGGCCCACGCGCCACTTCTTGTGAAAAGCCCACTGCAACCCCCGCAGGCTGCACGAAACGTGTGGCTCCTCTGCGCAGAAGGGCCTCCTTACTGCCTGGGTCTCTCTGTGTGCCGTGATTCAACCGCCTGGGCGAAGCTCCTGGCTCTTTCTGCAGACACCCGCTCACGTCACCTCCCTCAGCTGACCTCTGGACACTTGCGGCGTCTGCCACCCCATGGTGACCCTTTTCTACTTTGTTTCTGACACACGGGGAGGCAGCTGAGGGAGCAGCACACCAGGCCTTGTTCTAGGGACCATGCTGTCAGGGCCGGGCCCACCTCCCAAGGGTGGCACCTCACAGCCACACCCACGTACACAACAGCACTCGTGACAGGAGGTACCCCCAGAGGCACGGTCAGCCAGGGAGCGTCACCCAGAAGGCCACACCGCTCGGGGGCACCCAGCACCAGTGTCTCCAGTCTTGGGGTGGGGAGCAGCCCCCATTCTGGATGAGAACTTGGGGGGTGTTAATGAGAAACCTGACTCTGGGTTCTAACATCTAAATTTCCAGTTCAAACCCTGAATCTAATGAACAGCTGGACTGTCTCTGGCTACTGAGCACCTAACTGCTCCCTCCCCAAGGACGCCCACCAGGGAGGCCATGGCCCCAGGCCAGCTCTCAGGTGACCCTGACCCATAGAGGTAGGTGCCTCTCCGGGGGGCCCGTCTGCCCCCGGCCTTCCGGTCAATCCCACGAGCTTGTCAGTGTGCTTCCCATGAGGCCCTGGGGACGCTCCCCACAACGCCCACTCTGGGCCGGCATCCTGGGGCGCTCTCTCTGTGTGCATGCCCGAGCACCCGACGGCTGGTCTTGGGGGTCAGAGGCCCGTCTTCGGAGAGCAGCCGGGTGTCTGCCCCAGCATGGGCACTTGGTACATGCTGTGGTAATGACTGAATGCGCAGGCCCGTGGCCAGCACTGAGGGGTCAGCTACCCCGCGGCCAGTGGCCCGAGCTGAGCTATCTAAGCGGGTGACCAGCCACGACTCACCCGCACGCCGTGGAAGAGGAGGGGGAAGGATTTCTTCGGCAGCTTCTCCCAGCCCAGCAAGGAAGTGGTGACCTTGGGGTCTGCGCAGACCTCGAGCTCTCTGTGGTAGAACAGTCTGGAGGGCAGTGCCAGCAGGGCCGCGTGGGACCTGTAGTTCTTCACGAGCTTCGTGACCTGCAGGGAGGTGGCCAAGGTCAGCACGCACACCCGACACGCAGCAGGAGTTTCTCTGTCACGGACGATGGTGCTCTCAGCCCCCACCCCTGGCCCCCATCTGCCACCTGAGCACAAAGTGACCTCGGCACCTCACGTGGCTTTGTAAACAAAGGGTCCATTTTAACAAAACAGGTGAACATCAAGAAAAGAAAGAAGAGGCCTCTTGGGGCCTCCCTGGTGGGTCCGCCATGTGTCTGGCTTCAGGCTGCGCTCTGGGGTCTGTCTTGGGACCCGGCAGGTAAAGGAAGCCCATGGAGCCTGGGCTCAGCTCAGCTGCAGGCGGTACGGGCTGGCCCTGTGGCCAGGACGGCCAAAAGCAAACTGGGAGCACAGCTGGCTTGGTCCCCCAGCCTACAGCCAGTCCCCAGGGCCTGGCAGGGACCCTGCTGAGACCTGCCCGTGTTGAGGTCACCAGGGCCGGGAGCAGCAACTTCGCCAGGAAAGTTCATTTGAGGCTCAAGCCGCCTCCCCAGTTCCTGGGTGAGCACGTTGGGAGCCCCCCCGCCCTTTCCTGCTGACTCATAGTGACCAACTCCAGCTCAGTAATTACGTGTCCAGCCCCCAAGGTGCTAATCAAACCTCCACGCCCGATCCGCAGCACAGGCCTGCTCAGCCTGTGGCCTGCAGGGGACCTGCCCCGGGCCTCCTGCAGCGTCAGGCCCGTCCCACTCGCCCCACAGCGGTCACACCCCTCCGCCCTCATTCTGCTGCCTGGCCCCCTGCACAAGGCCTCCCTCCCAGAGCCCAGGGCAGCCCCTCTGACCCAGGCAGCTGTGTTTGCACTGCAGGGGTTCAGAGGACAACACCACTGGGCTCACCTGGACCAGGGACCCCACAGATCAAGGCCGGGGGCCTCCAACACCCTCGGCTCTAACGTGCAGATTCCTAGGCCGTCCCTCCTGAGTGGTGTGGGGTGGGCTGTGAACCCTGCCTGCGCTCAGCCAGCCCCGGGCACCCTCTGTGTGAACATGCCTGTCGCCCGGGTATCTGAGCTCACCAGCAAGGGGTTGTAGGCGCCACAAGCGCCGAAGGCATCCTCGTCTCTCAGGTATACTGGCCGGGACATCAGCCTCTCCAGCATGGACACGTTCAGCCCGTAGGCCAGGGCGAGTCTGGACTTGATGACAGGACCGAGCTGCATGGGGTCTCCGGCCAGGATGATCTGGGACACGAGGCACTAGTGGGCACTCAGCCACAGCAGCGGGCGGGACGTGCGACCACTGCCTAGGGCTTGGGGTGCAGGCTCCAGGTGGGGCG